GAGGAAACCCAGCAGAGAACCAAACCTGGCAACCAGTGAATGCTCAAATAAGTACAACAACAAATCAATGTTTCTTTCTCTCTCTAAAAAAAATCAATTAAAAAAAATGAAAGCAGCTCTGATTTTTGTGACCACTAAAGTCTTAGCATATAGTCTTTAGGATGTCTTTCTAAATTTGGTACAGGCTTTTTCTGACTTCCTTCTCAGTATACATCTAGCCTATCTATGTGAAAATACCTTTTCTTAAAAAGGGAAACTAGCTCTTCTAAATAAAATGCAGCCTCATTTTTTTTTTCTTAAAAAAAAATGAAGGCTCTAACACTAGCCAGAAAGTTTCATCAGAATAGTGACAGGGGACATGCCCCTTCAAGCGTACCCAGAAAGGCTAAAGACTAAGGAAATACTTTGTCTCTGGGACTTGTTTGTTATATCAAAGTTTTAAGCAACGAATGACTAGGATCGGAAGGAGGACTCTTCTGTCTTGGAATAGTAGAAGTAGACAATGTGTGATCTCAGAATGGTGGCAGTTGAACAGTATCAGAGAAGTATTTTAATGATATCTTTGAGAATTTTTTCTTCATTTTTGCTTCCTAGAAGGCTTGAGATAATTATCATTCATCTTTAATTTTTACCATCAGTCACTTTTTTGTCTTTCCTTTTTTATTGTGATAAAATACACGTAACTTAAAATTTTACCACCCTAACCATTTTAAGGTGTGCAGTTCTGTGATACTAAATACATTCGCCTTATTGTGTACCCCTCACCACACCACCATTCATTTCCACAGCTCTTTTCATCTTGTACTATCATTCACCTTTTTAAAAAATAATCTACTTCTTTTTAGAGAGTCAGGAAGGGAGGGAGAAAGAAAGGGAGAGAAATATCAATGTGTGGTTGCCTCTTGCACACCCCTCTGCAGGGGACCTGGCCTGCAACCCAGGTATGGGTTGCATGCCAGGGTTGCATGATTCCCAGACAGGGAATTGAACCGAGACTCAATCCACTGAGCCACACCAGCCAGGGCTCATTCTCTTCTAATAGGAAACTTGTCCTTTACCTATCTTCCAGTAACAAGCAATATATTTAACTTGTGCTTTGCAAATGACTGTTCAGATGACATGAAAAAACTGAAAGGAGAAATAAGTACTCAAATTTTACATGATCTTAGTGGCTTTGAGCCTTTATTTTGATGCACTGACTGACATATACCCTGGGCAGTAAAATGAGCAAGTAATTCCTCTCTTCTGCTTTCATTTAGCCTGTCAGTAGGACTTTCTGCTTACAGGTATTTTAAAAGTATTCCCCAACCTTTTTGGCACCAGGGACCAGTTTCATGGAAGATCGTTTTTCCACTGACCAGGGGTAGAGGGGGATTGTTTCAGGATGATTCAAACACATTATGTTTATTGTGCACTTTATTTCTATTATTATTCCACTGTAGTATATAATGAAATAATTATACAACTCACCATAATGCAGAATCTGGAAGCCCTGAGCTTGTTTTCCTGCAACTAATCGGTGCCATCTGGGGGTGATGAGAGACAGTGACACCCAAAGTGTGTTGCTTATGTCCAGTCTACTCTGTAGTCTTGTTTTGGTTGCTGTCAACTGCAGAAAACCCTGCTTCACAAAGATAGGATGTTGGAAATGGAAGCAGGCTTTTCAATGCTTTTGTGGCAATCTCAGGATATTCTGCCTTGACTTTAATCCAGAATGTATGGAGATTTGAAGTTGTCTCAAGCATACTTTTAAGGCCACTGTCATTTACAGTCTCAAGCAGTTGATCCTAGGACTATGCCATCCACTCTTTTCAGGAACCAGCCCCCCTCCAGAGCTGAAGCCCATAGCTCTCTCATATTCATGGTTGTACTAGGGTGTACAAGTCATGGCAGTGTTGGATGGGCCAAGTACTGTTAGAGTGACATTGGAGTCATGAGTAGCTTGGGAGCAGGGAAAATTGAGGTTGAGTGGAGAGCTTAGGGTAGCAAATCAACTGATAATGGAGGATTAGAATTGGCATGGGGGTTAAGCTGGTCACAGATGGGGGAAGATAGTGTTGGAGGCAGGACTTGAGTTAGGTAAAGTAGGGGAAGACTGAGAAAAATTCGGGTTCAGAAAATTGAGCTGGTCAGAAATGAGCTTTGGGTGGCACTGGATGCCAAGTGTTGGTGGGTATTGGGTAGATTGGGTGCCCCGTAAAGATGGATGCTGGATGGTATTGGGCACTAGCTGATTGTGTTGGTGGTTGCCAAGACCACCCCCAGGTTCTATGATTTCCTAGGAGGACTCAGAAGTCAACATATACTCATGGCTATGATTTATTACAGTGAAGGGATACAGAGCAAAATCAACAAAGGGCAAAGTCTGAAGGAAACCAAGTACAAGTTTCCAGGAGTCCTTTCCCAGTAAAATCTTGTGAAATGTTGCGAACCAGGGAAATCCATTTGAGTTGTAGTGCCCAGGATTTTTATTGGGGTTGGTCATGTCATTATCTGCCTAGCATGTAATAAAATTTCAGGCTGTCAGAAGGAAAGCAGACGTGCATAAACCATGTTTGTATAAATAATTTAGGCACTGTGACTCACTCTTAACACTACTGGGAATGGTGGGAACTCTCCTATAATCCACCTAAGGGGCAGCCTCGGAAGCAGGCCTTTCTAAGGAGGCCAGGCAACCTCAGGCCCCCTTTTAACTCTTTTTTGAACAGTTGTATTAGGCAGCAGGTGGCGGTGATGAGCTTTGAGTGGTGTTGGAGGGCAAGAAGGCAGTGTATGGCAGAGATAGGGAGAACAGATTAACAAAACCAGGAAACAGGGGACCTCACCTCCGCCTGTGGCATAGTAGAGCATCATCCTCAGGCCAGGGAACATGTTCACAGCCATTACCTCACTCCCCAGTAGCAGTTCCTCTACTAGCATCCAGGAGAATGATATGAATAGTGTTTTGCTATAAAGGAGTTCCAAGGATTGCAAGGCCAAGTAAATTTGGGTTAAAATGAAGTCCCTAACTGTAGTTTTCCTGAAATCTTTAAATATGCTAATATGTATTACAGTTATTCAAGAAATGAATAGCTATACAGCATTTCTCAGATTTCTATGGCCAGAGCCTTGGTACATTTTAGGAAAAATTAGTAGTACTCACCAAACTCATTCTGGGAACTGCTGCTCTAAACCTCTGGTTTTCAAACACAGCAAATGAGTCCTGGAATCCCAGAGCTAAATGAGAGGCAGTTCAGTAGAGACCACACCAGTCTGGTTTACCACTGTATATTCTATGTAGTATGGGCATATGGAAGCACATCACACATTTCTTGTATGACTGAATTAAGGAATACATTAGCAGCTTCATTAAAAAGTAAACTTGAAAACTAAAGAGAGCCCTGGCTGGGTGGCTCAACTGGAGCATCCCCTACAGCAAAGGTTGTTGGTTTGATCCCCCTTTGAAGCACATTTGAGAAGGTAACCAATCAATCTTTCTCACATTGATGTTACTCCCTTTCTCTCTCCTTCTCTTTTTAAAATCAATAAACATATCCTCAGATGAGGATTAAAAAAAAATACGAGTAAATGGAGATGAAATTCAAAGGAGTTTGTGTCAATAAAGATTTATTGGGTTAGAGACTAATAACAGTAAGATTTTATTTATCTTTAGAGAGAGGGGAAGGGAGGGAGAAAGAGGAAAAGAAAACATCAGTGTGAGAGAGAAATATTGATCGGTTGCCTCTTGTACACACCCTGACTGGGACTGAGCCCACAACCCAGGCATGTTTCCTGACCAGGAATCAAAGCTTTCACTTTGTGGGGCAACACCCAACAGAGACGCACCAGTCAGGGCGAGACTGAAACAGCTTTGTTCATCGTCTTGCAGAGCCTGGCACGTGGGAGGTACTCAGTAACTGTTGAATAAATAAATGGGTACAACTCTTGTTGTTACTACTGCTGCTGCTACTTTAAAGATTTTGGTTGTAAGAAATGTGAAAATTATTAGCTAAAATAAAGTAATTACTTGGAGATTTGATTTAGTTATGTTATCACTACAGAATATTGAGAGCTGCATTTAAGTATTTTAAATAGCTTTTAACTCCCAAGAGATTTGGGGTTTTTTTAATTTACTATCTTTCAAGATACAACTGAATAAATATAACACACATAATATAAAAATAATAAAACAAATATGTACCCATTGTACAGCATGAGAAATAAATCATTACCTGTTTTTCTGCCCTGTCCCAGTCTTATCCCTTCACCTTTCCCTGAGAGTATTATTCCAAATAATGTGCTTATTCTCTTGGCTTTTTCCTTCAGTTTTACTAAATATATGTATATTCCCCAAATAATTAATTAAGCTTCATATGTTTTGAACTTTATATAAGTTATAGTTCTCACTCAATATTAGTTTTTGAGATTCATACATGTCATGCATGTAACTGCACTGTGTTCTTTTTGTTTCTGTATGGTATTCCACTGTACAACCACATCTCTCTTTATCTACTCTCCTGTCAATGGGCATTTGGGCTTTTTACAGTTTTTGATAATTCTTCATAATCTACTACTATGAACATTGTCATATATATTTCCCAGTGTACAGGTATAAGCATTTTTTTAGAATAAATACCAGGGAGTTGAATATCTGGGTCTTAGACCTGTACATTTACAACTTTACATGATACTGCCAAATTTGTTTTCTTAGATATTTGTATTTACACTCTCACTGACAGCGAGTGAAAGTTCCCAGGGCTTCACAGCCTCTTTACCATTTCCTACTATCTGACCTTTTCGTTTATTTCCAATGTCGTGGTTGTGAATGGTCTCGTTGTGATGGTTTTAACTTATATTTCCCTAATTTGTAATGAGAACAAAAATCTTTTCATGAGTTTACTAGGCATTTGTATAAACTTTTCTATGACATGTCTATTTGTGTGTTCTCATTGTTTTGTCCATTTGTAGGCATCCTTTATATATTCTGGATACTAACCCATTGTACAAATATTTTTTCCCAGTCTGGCTGGCCTTTTCAAAGTGCGGGGGACAATGCTGAAAGGAATGACAAGACTTACCACCAGGGTCCATAAAGTGAGTCCTGACTGACCTAAATGCTTTGTACAAACTGTTTTTAGGTGGATTTCTTGTGTTTAGATGGATTTATTATATCCAGAATTAAATGCTCTGGAGAACTTCAGCTGACTTTAATTTACAAGTTCACACTCAAAAGAACAGTCACAGTCCATTTCTCTCTCCATTCACTTCACTCCCAGCTGCCCTAGTCTTCAAGTAACAGGTCTCAGTAGAATAGTTGTGTTTGAATTTACCATGTCATAGGAGAAGTAACATTTTTTTTAAAAGCTTGATTGCAATTATCTTTATTAACATTTGTTAATATTCTGTAGTTGGATTGTTTCTTTTTTTCCTCTAAAAACAAGTTTTGTTTAAATAAGGGTTTAAATATGTTACATAACATTAAAACTGAAGGGAGAAAAAACCCAAAAATCAGTTTGTTACCTCGCATGGTATTAGGCAGCTGTTGCTAGTAAGTTACAAGCTCTGCGGCTAGCTATATGACTTACATCCCTTTGAAATTTATTCCCTTGTCAAAAGTTTAACTCTGATAGAAGGTTAGCCTCAAATTCTGGTGTGTGGACATCAGTTAGCTAGGACGTGTCTGATCCAAAAGACCTTGGTGGCAAGCCAGATATTCTTATCACCTCACCGGAGGGATCGTGGCTGCTCTAAGCTCCATCCACCTGGTCAAGTTGGAGATCTCTGACTACCGAAGGCGACCTCTAGTGGTGCAAATGCCTTTGCTGCCTTACCCCTCCTCTTAGCTTCACCCAAAACTGTCGATGTCTAAGGGCAGGGAACTCTGGTGAGGAGCTTCTAGCCAGACGTAGCTGCCTGTGATCTTGGGGCTCTGGATTTGACTGAAACATCACATTATTGCTTTGTTCAAGGCTGGACATTGTCATGTGCATACGACTTGACCTCTGTTTAAATGAGAGACTTCAAGACTAGACAGCATAGCTCTTTTAACTTTATTGAGTGAAAGAGTTACACTAGTCCAACTTAAAAGCAGACCCCAAATGGTTACATTATACAAGCTGTGAGGTTTTTAAATTTGTGAACAGGACAGAAAGGAGGATCTACTCACTGCAAGTAAATCTTCACTTAAAAAGTTTTGGTGAGCCAAAAGCACTTAAAACCCATTAACTTTCAGCTGGTCGTCCTTAGCCGGTCCAGTCTCTCCAAGGAACTAGCATATGTGTTCTTGAGCTGGTCACTCTGTAGCTGAATTACTTCTCCATATCCTGGATGTTCATTCACAGTACCATTGCAGGCAAATTTCTTCTTAAATGGCTTTACTAGTTCCTTTTTATCGTAATTATCAGCGATCTCTTTGACAGTAGTAAGGGTCTTTCTGCCATTTCTCTGTTGAATTTTTATATGGATGTAATCCTTAGTGCCAGCAGGAAGCAGATCATCACTCTTAATTTGCATCAGCAAAGGGGTCGAAAGAATAGAGGTTCTAGATAATAGACATTCTATACAATTGCTTTTCCTCAGTGGAAACAGGCTGTGGTAGGAGAAGGCGGGCAGGGAGGACAGAGCGTCAGGAAGCAAAGGGGACTCAAGGGAGAGGTTGTTCAATCCTCCGCAGGGACTCAGTGGCTGGGGCCAATTATCATTTCTTAAATACTTCAAAAACATTGCCAATTTAGACCTTAAGCATCTGATAGTTGAATAAAATTATAAAATCATGTCGTAAAAAACATCCTGTTGTTGCCCATACTGGTGTGGCTCAGTGGTTTGGAAGTCATCCCACAAACAGAAAGGTGGCCAGTTCAATTCCCAGTCAGGGCACATGCCTGGATGGAGGGCCAGGTCCCCGATTGGGGGCATGCGAGAGACAACTGATCGATATTTTTTTTGCACATTGATTTTTCTCTCCCTCTCTTCCTTCCTTCCCCTCTCTCTAAAAAAAATAAAGAAAAAAAATTAAAAAAAAAAAAAAGAAAAAACCCTCATGTTGCCTAGTACATAATAGGTACCCCGTTAACAAAAGCCATGAATGCAGTTCAAGGCAGAGTACAAGACAAATGTACTTGTCACACACAAAAAAAAATGTCATACAAGACAAAGAAAGTTCTGTTTTCTGGCCAGGTGGCTCAGTTGGTTGGAGCATTGTCCTGGTACACCAAAGTTGTAGGTTTAATCCCCAGTCAGGGCATATATAATAATCAACCAATGAGTACATAAATAAGTGGAAGAGCAGATCAATGTCTCTGCCTCCGTCTCCCTGCCCCCTCCCCATCTCTCCCCTATCTCTCTCTAAAATCAATAAATAAAAAAAGACAAAGAAAGTGCTATCAGCAATGAGGGAAAAATAATTACTTTTGACTGGAGGTATCTGGAAAATCATCACAGAGGATGTGACATTTGAGATGAGCCTTAAAGGAGGAGTAAGATTTAAACAGAGAGGGAAGTTGAAGTAAAAGGAGCAGAATTATAGAGGCATAAAAGTTAATAACATATTAGCATGGTCACAGGGCTGGAATATGGAGTTCGTATAGGAATGCAACCACAGGGGTCAGTTGAAGTCAGGGCTTTGATTACCATTCTAAGGACTTTGGGACTATTTTGATATCACTAGGAAGCCATCCAAGCTTTTTTGATTAAAGTTATTATATGGGAAGACAAATCTTTTAGACTATGAAAGATGAAAAGTCAAAGATTTAGAGGTAAAGATACCAATTAGAAATGGACATTAGTATTACGAGGGTGGTACAAAAATAATACACATTTTCTTCATTCATGAAGCTGCTTGGTGAAACTAAATATAAATACAGGCAGCTTTCATGTTACCTATCGATTTATCAGGAAATTCCCATGTTATAGCTGTCTCTCTCATCTGCTTCTGCTGGCTTCATATCCTAATCTTGACCTTGTAATTGGCATCTTTCATGTCTATATAAGTCTTTTATCCTCAAACTCAGTTTAGAGGTTCTCCAGTTAACATTTTCTTAGATTTGTCTCCTAAATTATCCTCTTCCCCCCACCTCCCATCCCTTCCCAGTTCAGAGGTTTCCATGTGCAGTTCACTGAATTGCCTGTAGAGTAGTATATTTTCACTTAGCTGGATGCTTTATGCACTCCCTTATTATTTTATCAATAAAATTCTTTATTCCAGGGCACAGCAAGCTAGAAAATTGTTGCAGGGAGTATAATTATACCTATCAAATAGGAACATTGCGCTAAGCCCCTAATAACTGAAGTAACTATGATTACTGGACAGCTGAGAATTGTACAGTACTGGCTACCAGTCGTTACTGTGGGCAAGAGCATTAAAAGAAGTTTCCTGCTTTAAGTTAATAACTATATTATGCCTCCTGAAAAATCTCTAATGGAATTGTTTCTTTCTATTTGAGACAGAGCAACACAAGCTGAAACAGATCAGTTATGCTGAAACAGAGCGTAAATAACATGCTTAGACTTAGAGAATTGTAAATAAGAACAAGAATCCTCATTTTGCATAAAACTAAAGTGTATAATAGTGGCATTTTCCTCTGTTGCAAACATGGCTTAAAACCTCAGTGTTGTAGCAAGCATAGAAAGTTTTATGATTCCAGAACACTAAACCGGTTTCTTTTCTAGTTGGACCCTGGACATTTTTTGCGCATGGGGACCCAGGCATCCCAAAGCCTTGCTGCTCCACTAGATAGTCAGGTTTCATCTGAGAGTCTCAGATCTATTTCCCGCACCAGTGAAGATGACCCGGTAAGTTGCTAATGTATATATATATTTTTTTAAGGGCTTATAATTTGTGCTGCTGTCATTTTACATATCAGGAAAACTAAAACCCACATCTACATGTAATCAGACAATGCACCCAAGACAGGATTCTGGGACCTGTATCTTCCACATCCCTATCTGATACTGTCGTAACATAAAACAGGCAGGGTTAGTCCACATTAATTCTGACTTAACCCCTACCATTGAATTCACCTCATGCCAAGGATTTTGCTGGGCATAGAGCAGGTACATAGTAAATACTTAGAAGTTACATTTAGAAGTTATTATTGATCTTACTGTATGATAGGTTCACAAACTTTTCCTTTAAGGACCAGATAGTAAAACTTTAAGCTTCTGAGCCAAAGTGGTCTGTGTCACAACTGCTTAGCTCTGTCATAAACAAATGGTTATGGCTGTGTTCCAATAAAACTTTATTTACAGAAATGGTAGTCAGCCATAGTTTACAGACTGTGGTATGGAGAATCCTAAGAAATCAATTTAACTTGCCCAAGATCACAGCAAAGTAATTACAGAACCCAGTTTTCCTAATAACCAATCTGGGATTGTTTTTTATCTACCTTTCTAAGTGGATTTCCTAGTTCTGGAGAGGTAACTAACTTGATTTGTTGAGAAGAGCAGCATTTAAAGTGAGGTTTGTCGGCAAAAGCTGCGGTTCCAGTAGTATCCAGTGTTGTATTTTCTACTTCAGATCCCATTAGGCTAGATGTTGATACCTTTTCTCGTTTACTGGCATTATTGCTGCCTCTCATAAATGAAGTTAGTTGTAAGGTCTGTGCTTAAATATGAAGGAAACCAATAGCTTTTTATTTTTTGTCTGTATTCCTACTCTCTGGGTCTTCCTACCTTAACATACACTGCTGTGCATGTAGGAGGGGAAAAAATAACTCATTTCCCCCAAACACCATTGTGGTAAGATGTGTTTTATTTATATCTACAATGTTCACGTACATTCACAAGCACAAAATAAAATAGAATAAGTGAATAAAGTCATCAAGGTGGCTTTCAGGCTTTCCCTGTGAATGCAGTCTATCTGCCAATTTCTCTAGAGTTTCTATGGAAACAGCAGCATGCAGATAATCTTGTCATATGACTGGAGCATCTCTATACACAGCTCAGAAGAATCCAGATGGCAGGAACTGTCACTGCTACCTCCAGGGCTAGGGTTTATGTTGCTGGGAAACTGGTTCATCATTTAGGCCAATGCCAGCTTTATATGCACACTGGATTTGGAGACAAGAGCCAGCATTTTTTTGTGTCAGATAAGAAGTGAAAGATATCCTTTCCAACTCTGAGGGATAAATGTTTCTTCAATGGTGTATTCGGCCCTTTCCATTTTTCAAAGTCTTTGTCACTTCGTCTATGGCCCCAATATTCCTGTTTGCATTTTTATTTCATAGGCCAAGCATGAGGAGCGACATGAGGGTCAGCACTACAACCTTCCCCTCCAGGAGATGAAGACTATATTCCCCCATGGCCTGCCTCCTCGATTTGTAATGCAGGTGGTCAAAACAGGGGAGGAAATTGGAGTGAGCCCAGAACACAGGCTGTTGATAGCAAAGGGTTGGGATTAAATGAGTTGAAAACAATAAAAAATGAAATTTGAATCTAAAAAAAAAAAAAAAATAGTGCAACTACTTTAAGTCAATGTTTATTTGTGTTTAACCATTTAAAATCCTTTTTGGGGTCCTGGCCAGGTGGCTCCATTTGTTGGAGCATTGTCTTATACACAAAAAGGATTGTGGGTTCGATCCCCGGTCAGGGCCCTTCCCAGGTTTTGGATTTGATTCTCAGTTGGGGCTTGTATGGGAGGCAGCTACTTGATTTATGTCTCTCATGTTGAAGTTTCTCTCCCTCCCTACCCCCACATTCCCGCTCTCTAAAATCAGTAAACCTATCCTCAGGTAAGGATTTAAAAAAAAAAAAAAAACACAAACTTTTTGGAGCCAGGCAAACTATTCTCTCTTTTTTGAAGATTATATTTATTTTTAGAGGGGGAGAAAAACATCAATGTGCGAGAGAAATATCAATTGGCAGCTTCTCACACGCCCCCAACTGGACACCTGGCCCGCAACCCAGGCATGTGCCCTGACTGGGAATCAAACCAGCAACCTTTTGGTTCATAGGTCAACGCTCAGTCCACTGAGCCACACCAGCCAGGGCTAGGCAAAATATTCTTAAATAATTAAACAATATCCTGCTATTTTCCTTACCCAACAGATTTCTAGAAACTTCAAAGAGTTGTTAAAAAATGAACTTAATGTTTTCCTTAGAGAAGTATCATGAAAATAGTTAATATGTTATAGAAAAACAAAATCAAAATATATTCCTCAGCTATATAGAAATGATATTTAGATTAGATGCATGTTTGTTCTTCCGTCTCACAAATTTTCAGGAAATTGTAGTTCTGTGGTCATAACTTTAACCCAAAGAATTGCTTGGGTTCTTGATAGCCATTCAAAGAATTCATGATTAACTGCAACATGGTTTATTGGCATAATTGGTTCTTTTGACTAGTTTCTGCTTAATTATTTTCAGCCTCAGAAAGCATTCATTCTTAATAAAATATCAAACTTGACTGTGCCGATGACTTTTAGCTGAGGAACCAAAGGCTATCATTTCTTCAGTGTGCTTCATTTTTAAAAAATTTGATGTAATGTAAGAGAGCTAGCTAATACTAGACTATAAACAGCCTTGTCATCAAAAATTTTGTTAAGTTTGGAAATAGAACATAACTGGAAGGAAGCATCTATAATGTCACTTTAAACTGTTCTGTGACGTTCATAGTACAGTCTCCAGCTTCAGGGTTGTGAGGGTCTAATTTTAATTGTTTCAAGTTGCTCTCATGACGGTGTAACCACCAGTGCTTTGGAGAGAATCACTCATACATTCTTTCCATAATTTCCATTTATGTGAAGGCCAACATCCTCAGTGTTGCTTTTGTGTTTTTGCACTGTCATATTGCCTAAAAGGGCATTTTTGTATTAATATCTATATCAAATTTTTTAAGGTTTCACTTTTCATTAAGCTTGTACTTATCAAGTCCTTCTCCAATAACCCTTCTCCAATCCACTTGTTTGCTTAGGATTGCTTTTTAAAAAATACCACCCTGGCTGATGTGGCTCAGTGGATTGAGTGCCGGCCTGCAAACCAAAGGGTCACTGGTTCAATTCCCAGTATAGGGCACAGGCCTGGGTTGCGGGCCAGGTCCCCAGTAGGGGGCACACGAGATGCAACCACACATTGATGTTTCTCTCCCTCTCTTCCTCCCTCCCATCCCCTCTCTAAAAATAAATAAAAAAAATGTTTTTAAAAAATGAGACAACCGAAATAGCATAATCAATAAAATATATTTAAAAATACCAACACTATTTTAATCCTTATCTAATAATATTTGTTAGTTTCCTTTTCAATAGACTCTATTTTTTAAAGATTTTATTTATTTATTTTTAGAGAGGGGAAGAGAGGGAGAAAGAGAGGGATAGAAACATCAGTGTGTGCCTGCCTCTCACACTCACCCCACCATGGACCTGGCTCACTACCCAGGCATCAAACCAGCAACCCTTTGGTTTTCAGGTTGACTACTCAGGGCACAGTAGACATTCTTAAGTCACTTTTACACATATCAATGATTCTCAAATTTTTCCACCAGAGTATTCCTGATGGCAGAAAGGAAATGAACTTTACGTATCAGTTTTCTGGTTTGTCTGTATAATTCTAGAGAAAAGTCTGGATGGTCATTGTAATAAAAATTAGCTAAAAATAAATTTAAAGGAATTACCTTTATTCAGCACTTACCATTTGTCAGGTACTCTGTTAAGCATTTTACATACTTTTAATATTTATATCAATGCTAAGTAGTATACAAACTTATGTTGTGAATGTTTGTAGTGTTTGTAGATTTCAGTTAACTGATGGACTATCTGTACTTCATTAACAGATCTAATCAAAAGCTGACCCTTATGTTAATTGATATAAGATAATGTGTTTCTCTTTTCAGCTAAATTATATGGATATATTTTGAAATTCAAAACCAACCCAACCTCTCCTAACTGCATAAATAAAAAATATGCAATTTGTTGGTGTATTAGGCTCAGCGTATATACCAAGAACTGGCTAGAAGTTCCACACCCAATCTCTCCTTCTCCTTCTCTGTTTTGTTAGGTGAAGACATTCAGTGAAGCTTGCCTGATGGTAAGGAAACCAGCCCTAGAGCTTTTGCATCACCTGAAAAACACCAATTTTGCCCTTCCAGCTGTACGATATGTTCTCTGTATCCTTTCCTGCCTGTGTGCAGTGTCTTGAGCCAGTGCTTTCCTTCCTCAAATGGGAGAATAGAAGAAATGCAAGAGTACTCTTTGTCAACAGTAGAAGGGTCCCTTCTGGTAATGTTTTCTTTAACAAGTATGTTATTTAGATGGGGAGAAGGGAACAGGAAAAACCCTCAGTCTTTGCCATATTATTCATTTCTGTGCAAAACAGAACTGGCTGATACTGCATATTCCAGATGGTAAGAACTTCTGTCTTCACTGTGCTGAATTTAGTTATCCTGTTACTGTGGTAGCATTGTGGCTTTAATTTTCTGACAAGGCTCCAGTACTTCCAGGACAGGCCTTTGCTTCAGATGCAGAGTGGTCTGACTAGTTCATCATAATTTCTTCATGTTACTGAGAAGCAGGTTGCAAGGTGAAGTAAATGCAATAAGAAGGAATTCATCTAAAAGTTTCCTGGAGCTTCTTGATAATAAGAATGAAGTATTTTGGCCCAGCAGTCCTCACTTTGATACATAATGCCCACGAACATGACCTCCCACCTTAGAGGTCATCACGGGCTTTATTGCCATCAGTCAGCAATTTTGAGTATCCAGAGAGCCTTTTACATGGTACTGGTTATCATCATTCTAGAGTTTAAAAACTTAAACTCTCCTACTTTGTACATATCCCACCTGGTGTGTGTGTGCACCCAGATTTTATGACTATCTTTAGAAACTGCGAGGAAGCTGAGGTGAGGAATACACTTGATATTCCTTGTGTAATGATTAAAATGATAATGTTTAATCTAAAATGGAGCTGCCCTGGCCAGTGCGCCTCAGTGGTTGGAGTGTCATCCCATAACAGAAAAGGTAAGTGGGCTCATCTCCAGTTCTGGCATGGGCGTGTGCGATCCCTGATCTGGACACATGCAATCCCCGGTCCCAGCACATACAAAGGCAACCAGTCAGTGCTTCTGTTGCATAGATGTTTCTCTCTCTCCCTTCCTCTTTCTCTAAAAAAGCAAATGAAAATACCCCTGGGTGAGGAAAAATAAAATAGAATACCAGACAAAAATAAACCTTGGAAACAAGAAGGCTATAAGATAGATCGATCAATCCATCGATCGATCTATATAGATTTATATAGATATATATGGTTACAGTTATTTCCCATGACTTAAAAAATCATAGTCTTTTGAATTGAATACAGCCGGTTCCTACCTAGTGTATTTTCTGTGTGGTTTTTTTGGGGTTTTTTTTAGCTCATCTGTGGGTGAAAAACTGCCAAGATCTTTTACAGTCCACCTACAACAAACAACGCTTTGATCAACCTTTAGAGGCTTCAGTCTGGCTGAAGAATTTCAAAACTGCAAATGAGCGTTTCTTGAGTCAGGTAACTAGACTCCCAGGACTTTGGTGTTGGACATTCTTTAAATAGATCTTATCTCCTTGTGCCCCGAGTAACAGTGGACTGTGGAAAACTAGTATCGTGGTTGAAATAACTGTACCATTTTCTACTTCTTTCTTATATTTTACTCACAGTGAGCTCAATCTGAAACTTATTTATCCATGAGAAATAGAGGCAGAGGTAGGCTGCTCCCATCTTGTATGTGGCATATTGAAGTCCATATTAATAGATTAACTTTTCCAAGGTCACAATCTCAAATCTTCTAAAGCACATTTTCAGCTATGTAATTTTCTCCAGATAAGATCATTTTTGGAACCAGAAAGGTATTGGTAAAATTACTCTTTGGTAATTCTTAAATATGATCTCTCAACTCTAGATATTCAGAATCTTCTAGGAGCTTATTAAAAATGTAGGTGCCAAGGCCTAAAATTTTGACCTTTTTAGTCAAAATCATATGTATGACACCGATCATGTGGCTCAGTTGGTTGTGCATCATTTGCAAAGGGAAGTTGCCAGTTTGATTCCCAGCCAGGGCACATGCCTGGGTTGTAGGCCCAGTCCGTGTTTGGGGCACATGCAGGAGGCAACCAATCTGTATTTCTCTCACAGCAATGTTTCTCTCCTTCTCTTTCTCCCTCCCTTTTCCTCACTTTAAGATTAAGTAAATAAAACCTTTAAAAAAAAAAAAAGAATCATGTATACATACATGTGTGTATTTTTAACCTCCAGGGAGAAATAGGCTAGATAGCATTCACTTCCATACTGAGATCTCTTACAGGGCTTGCAAAATAGATGTAAACTGATTCCTAACTGATTCCTTAGCCTCCTACCTTCTCAGCTAGGAATCAGTTCATCCTTTGGCTGAGTAGCAACTTTTGGTTTTTATTTTGTTTGTTTTTAGATAAAAATTCAAGAGAAGTATGTCTGGAATAAACGAGAAAGCACTGAGAAAGGCAGTCTTCTGGGAGAAGTAGTTGAACAGGTATTAAAAAAAACAAAACTGTGTACTGTGCCATAACCAGGGAGGCCTCTCATAGAGAGGACTATAAGCCACCGTCTCCCTTTTGCTACAGGGTATAACACGGGTGAGGAATGCCACAGACGCAGTTGGGATTGTGCTCAAAGAGCTAAAGAGGCAAAGTTCTTTGGGTATTTTTCACCTCCTGGTGGCCGTGGATGGAGTCAATGCTCTCTGGGGAAGGACCACGCTGAAAAGAGAAGATAAAAGCCCAGTAGGAAAACTGAGTTTCTCTGTTCTGGGTTCCCTGATTTCTGTTGCCATTATATACATAGGCTGGGGCATAATAAACATGCAATATATTTTCTAGCTCTACGAGTATTTGAATTAAGATGTGTAGTTGAAAATAGCATCAAAAGGAGGTGATACCAAGTTCCATTATCTACTGAAAACTAAGGATATTTTGGACAGGGCATGACAGCAGAAACAACTTTTTCTTCCTATTTTCAAAATGAGGCTATGTGGCCTACGCAGGGAAGATCAGAGGCATCAAGGAAGGGGCTGGTTTGGGCAGTGGGTGTTTTCTCCCTTGGGGACCATTTTTAACTTAAGCACAGCAGGTTTAGGGCCAACAACTGTGTGGCCTATCTCAGAGGTTATACCTTCAGGTGCTATGGTTACATAGTAGCTGAGGATTTTTAGTTGTCACTTTAGTTGGCTCAGGGAAGCATCCAGGCAAAGCAAGTAATGTCCTCTTTCTTCTGCTCCCATTCCCTTTCTTCCCCCCTCAAACATTGACCAATGTGCAGATTGCCCCGGAGGAACTAGCACTTATTTACAACTTGAGGAAAATTGTGAAAAATGATTGGGTGAGTGCATATGATCTCTTAATACATTTCAGAAAGAAACATTTTTATTTTAAAGATCTACGACTGCTTCATTGCTAGTACCTTTCAGTTGCTAATTTTATGGAAAGTTCTTATATTTTATTTAATTCCTATAACTACCAAGTTTAAAATCTATATATTTGATTTCTAATCTTTCCACTTGACTGAAACAAGATTATTCAAAATCATTTTATTTAAATATTAGTGTCATTACTTGCTTGCAATTGTTCAAAGTGTTTTTATATCCTCTGTCTTTTTTAGCTTTATCTAATTTGGCTTTTTTTCCTTTCTTCCAGAACGGAGGCGCCATTGTGTTGACTCTGAGCCAGACTGGGTCTCTTTTTAAGCCACGGAAAGCCTATCTGCCCCAGGAGCTACTAGGAAAGGTCAGATAACGAAAATTTTTTGTTCCTTAGTCATTCTGTCTAAAGCCATCTTTTTTTTACCTAATTTCAGACCTGAAGAAAAAGTATATTCTTGTATGACTTTACCGAGATTCCTAAAATGTTAACACTTTACCAGGTTTACTTTATTATTCTCTCTCTCCATTTGTTTTTTTCCTGCATATGTGACAGTAATCTGAAATATGATGCCTCTTTCTCTCTAATTCATGTGTACTTCCTAAAATCAAAGATATCCTAGTAAATAACCACAGCACAGTTATCCAGATCAGAACTTGATATTGATATAATACTGTTAACTAATCTATAGAACTTCTTCTGATTTTGCCAGTCTATTTTTTTTTAAGGTTTTATTTATTTTTAGAGAGTGAGAAAGGGAGCGAGAAAGAGAGAGAAAAAAACATCATTGTGTAAGAGAAACCAACCAGGAACCTGGCCAGCAACCCAGGCATGTGCCCTGACTGGGAATGAAATCAGCGATCTTTTGATTTGTGGGAACAGTGCCCAACCCACTGAGCCACACCGGTCAGGGCACCAGTATATTCTTTACAGAAAAAGAAAGTCCTGGTCAGTGTATAGCATTCACTTGTCATTTCCCTTTAGTCTCCTCTATTCTGGCACTGTTGCTTAGTCTCTTTTATAATCTTAATATTTATAGTTCTATTTTTGAAGAATTCATGCCAGTTATGGGTTATTTTATGAGAGCATCTGATGTTTTCTCCTGATTATGTGTGATTTTAGAAGTGATGTGTGTTCTTAGTGCATAATATTAGGAGGTACGTGAAACCTATTGCTCCTACTACTGGTGATGTTAATTTGAATACTCAGTTAAGGTGGTATCCAACTGGTTTCTCTTCAGTAAAGTTACTCTTTTACTTTTATAATGAATAAATATTTTGTGGAGATACAGTTTGAGATTAGGTTAATATCCTGTTACTTCTCAAATTTCTCCTTAAAGTTTTAGTATCCATTGGTGATTCTTCCCTAAGTCAGTTATTATGATAATTGCAAAATAGATATTTTCTAGTTTCCATCATTTCCTCAGAATCTATCAGTTAGCTTTCTATGATGTGTGAGAACTTTCCTTTCTCCCTTAAGTATTTGTTTGATTACATACAGGTGGATTCTTTACCTTTACTATCATTTATTTTGGAGCTTACATTATCCCAGATTTGGCCAGTAGGAGCCCCTTCAAGCTGGCTTCTATGTCTTTTTTTTTTTTAAATCCTCACCAAAGGATATGTTTTATGATTTTTAGAGAGAGAGGTAGGTTGGAGAGAGAGAAAGAAACATTAATTAGTTGCCTCCTGTACGCAACCTGACCTAGGATCAAACCCACAACCTTTTGGTGCACAGGACAGTGCTCCCAACCAACTGAGCCACCTGGTCAGGGTTTCTCTGACCTATTAACATGTACCCGTAACTCTTTCTCTACTTATTTTTGGCACAAGAATATGTTTCAGACTTAATCTTATAATCTGCATGCCTACTTTTAAAATGGCCATTTCTCCAAGGACCCTTGATTTGTTTTACAGGAGAATGGTATTTAGAAATTAAGGGTGCTAGGTGTACTTACTGTTACTGTAAGTGACTTAAGTGTCACTTTGTAGGCCCTCCAGCAGAGTTGGTAAATAGATATATGTACTATTCAGATGTGTATGGACTATATGCATACATGTGTTTATCTGTACACATCATACATGTATATCTGTTTCTCTGTTGTAAAAAAAAACCAAAAAAAAGAAAAAGAAAAATGACAAAAAATAATAAAACACAAAGAAATAAAATTAAATAAACCATGAGTTCATACTGTTAGTTCCAATACCAGTCAAGTATCACAGCATTCACATCTTTCCCTCCTTCCATATTTATAACCCTCATCTCAGACAATAAGAAATCTGCTGTTAGACCCAGCTGTTGTGGTTCGGTGGATTAAGCACTGGCCTGTGGACCAAGAGGTTGCTGATTCAATTTCCAGTCCAGGCACATACCTGGGCTGTGGGCCAGGTACCCAGTTGAGGGCGTATAAGAGGCAGCTGATTGATGTTTCTCTTGCATGTCAATGTTTCTCTCCCTTCTCCCTCCCTTCTCCTCTCTAAAAATAAATAAATAAAATATTTTTTAAATATTTTAATAAAAGAAATCTGTTATTATCCACAGTCTATTTAACTGTTAGCTCAGTCTTAGGTTACAGTAAAAGTAGTTTCAGGGTTACTAACCCTTGACTCTATAAAAAATAGCTATAAACTGCAGCACAATATTTGTTTAAGTACTTTTCGTCTTTAGCCTAAGGATATTTGGTATCAGTACTCTGTTCAGAAGTTACCGTGGGATACACCTAAAACTAGGACAAAACAATATTGAATGTCAAAATAAGATAAAATTTTTTTAAAAAGTTAGGTTACTTTCCCTTATGCCTTCAGTGTTCTGTTCGAATTTGAGGTACAGTCGTCCCCCATTTATACTTGGTTTCATTTCCCACAATGTCATTTACCTGTGGTCAACTGTGGCCCAAAAATATTAAATGAAAAATTCCAGAAATAACTCATAAATTTTAAATTGGACACTGTTATGAGTAATATGATAAAATCTCACGGCCCATTCTGCCCAGGACACAAGTTAATCGTTTTGTCTAGAATATCCACGCTGTATATACTCCCTGCTCATTAGTCACTTAGTAGCAGTCACAGTTACTATCGGTCATTGCACTATCGCAGTGCTCGTGTTCAGGTAACCCTTGTTTTACTTCATGGTACCCCCTAAAGCATGAGAGTAGTGATGCTGGCAGTTCAGATATGCCCAAGAGAAGCTGTAAAGTGCTTTCTTTAAGAGAAAAGGTAGGTATGTATAGGGGGGAAAAAAGTATATGTAGGATTCAGTAATCTGCATGTTTACTAGTCCACTGGGGATCTTGGAATGTATCCCCAGTGGATAAAGGGGTCTGCTGTACAGTTTGATTGATTCATTTGTTTCAGTTTATATTCCATTTAGAGTCTTTTCCACATCCTTGTTTTATTTTTTTGTTTTCAATATATGAACTGTGAAAACTGTTGTCAATATTGAATTCAGAACTATTAAAAATTAAAATATGTATATGTTTATGTATGTCTATGTGTGTATATATATTCAAACAAGTGGAATCACCCCTCAGGTATTATAGTAAAATACAATACTTGTGGTCAGGTAGAGCAACAGTAGCCAGCCACTATATGTGGAGCCTCTTATATAAGGCAGGATAGTCGGAGACGGATGAGTAGAGTAGAATAGAAGAAAAGTTAAGAACTTACCCTTAAAATGTTTAAGTAAAATTGATCTCTCCACTGATTTGTCACTCCTCCCCCACTTTTTTTCCCTGCTCATTTGTCACTTAACAATCACTATATCTTTATACTTTTTCTTCTACAGGAAGGATTTGATGCCCTTGATCCCTTTATTCCTATCCTGGTTTCCAACTATAATCCAACAGAATTTGAAAGTTGTATTCAGTATTATTTGGAAAACAATTGGCTCCAACATGAGAAAGGTCAGTTGTTAAATTTTTTTGTATAAGGGCTTTATGGTCTCAGGAAGAGTCCCACTGAGTCAGAGCCTTGATCTCTTCTTCCCTCAGCAGCAGCAGATGAAATTTTTATTTCATCTTTTTTCCCTTTATCTTGACTTCTTTCTAGTTATTAGAGGGTTCAGAAAGGTGTGGGACTGGGGGCAACAGTAGTCTAAAATAAGATGCTCGTGCTATAAAAGGCCAGAACAAGCCCATTTACTTAGTTTGGGTGGCTGCCACACTTTTGTTGTTGCATTTTTCTTTCTTCCTTTCTCCTCTTCCCTTCCTTTCCCCTTTCCTTCCCCTTCCCTCCCCCTTCCCTTCCCCTTCCCTTCTTTGTCTTTTTAATCTTTTGTTCACTTACCATTCAACAAACCAATTGACTCATATCCTAGGGCACCCACAGAATAACTGATAGTGTGTGAGAAGCCACCCCCAAAGCAAACCAAATCCATGCTATACCTGCCCTAGTCTGTGTACATGAAAGCATTCCAGCTGTTCTTTTTACCCTTGCCCTCAGCTTGGGAATGGGGAGGGGGTAAAATGATGTGTTGGAAAAGTAAAGACTCTTCTATCAGTAGAGAATTAGCTATAATTGGAATAGGTTATTAAAGGAATAAAGGAAAGACTGTAATGCAGCTGCAGCAATGGTGGTTTGGGAAACATCATGGAGAGATTTCTGAGGGCGTTGGGAGATGTGACAAAGTCCTAAAGTCCAGAAGATACTCTTGAAGCAATGGGAGAGGTAGATGCTGGATTGGAAGACTAGAGACAGAAAGGGAGTGCTAATCTGATTAATACAGCCTCTGACTACAGAATTTTCTGGGTAACATAATACTGCAGGAGAAAACTGTCAATTTTCTGTGTTCTACTCCATTTTAGCTCACACAGAAGAAGGGAAAAAGGAACTGCTCTTCCTAAGCAATGGGAATCCTGGGCAGCTGGAGCGGCTCTGTGCCTACCTCTAAGCTGGAGTCACGACATAGGTGGAAGACAATGGACATTTCCTTTAAGAGGCCCAATCAAATGGGGAAGTGCCACAGTACACACGAGGAGCTCATGGGACTGAACAGGATTGCAGTCAGCTCCCACCCCTCATTGAAATTGTTTCCTTGTAAAGTGACTGTAATAGCAATAAGATGTCCTCTTGCTCGTCAAATTAATGTCAGTTCAGTATATGTGCTTTTGAAATTTTAATTAATCATGGATCTTTTCCTTATAATTAAATTAACTATCTTTCTTAAAGTGTTGTGTTAGATTTTTAAGAGGAAAGACTTTTCATTTCAGATTGGCCAAATTGAAATTCTCCAGCATTCTGCTTCTTGGGTATGTGCAGAGACTAAATTTCACTGAAATGTCCAGTAGCACTATTTTCTAGATTTTATTCAGTTCAGGAGTTTGAGATTCACAGGTTAACTTCTCCCTCCCAGATACTTACCATTCACTTCCTATTGACACTTTTGTCAGTGGTATCTGAGAACTTTTCTGAAACTCCGCCTGAATCTGGCAGCTTTGTATGGTATAGCCCCTTCATACTGGTTCCTGAAAGAAGTAAGTTATAAACCCCAACAGTATACATTGTGTGTAATTATTAACTTATCCTTAATTCATATAAAGCAGTACTAGCTATGTATCATCTTTGGGAGATCTGAGAAAACAATGACTCAGATCAATTTCAGTACATTTCAATTCTCTGACCCTACCCAGGTTGTTGGTATAAAGAGTCAGAAGATTGTGCCCCAGATTTACCAGTTATTAACTGTCTGTCTGAGGGTCTCTTACCCTACCTATTTCCTTCTCTAATTTCACCTTATTTTAGAGTAACAACAATGCCAAACTTTCAGGGGTTTTGTGAGAATTAAAGCACGTAGTATACATAGAATGACTCACACATAGTAAGTACCTATGAAATGGTAGATGGCTACTATTTATAACTTGGATTTTATAATGTTTTAATTGGAAAGTTACTATGGGGGTTCCAGTCAAAATGGTAGCATAGGTAAATATGGTTCTTGGAACCTCCCATAACCACATCAGAATTACAACTAAATTACAAAACAACCATCATTCAGAATGCCTGAGATCTAGCTGAAAAGAAGCCTTGTAACTAAGGATATACAGAAGAAGCCACTTTGAGACTGGTAGGAGAGGTGGAAACACAGAACCACCTGATCCCACACACACATGTGTGGCTGTTGAAGATCGGGAGGGATATCAGGGCTGCAGAGTTCCCCTCTGTGAAGCGAGAGGTCCTGGATCCACATCAAATCCCCCAGCCCAGGGTTTTAGCACTGAGAAGAGATGTCCCCGTAACTTCTGGCTTTAAAAATCAGCAAGGATTATGACTGACTGAGATGGAGGCTCCTGGAGTTCCAGGAGTCCCTCTTAACAGGCCTGCACTCAGACTTAACGTGGATTCACTCACGCTGAGCTCTGTCACTGGGGCAGAAGGGGAGGAACTGAATTGTCTGGCTTCAGGATAAGAGCTGGTGGGGCAACTCTCTCCCTGAAAGAAATGCTGGTGGAGGCCGTTGTACCATTGCAAAATCCTCGCCCCCCTTCCTCCCCCGCCCCCCACAGAACATCAGACAGGTGCCATATCTGAATCTCCCTCAACCTAGCTAATAAATTTTGCCCCACCCTGGTGATTCCCTGAGACCCCCACCCACCTAACTTGTGGGCCCATCAAAGCCATTTCCAGTGACTTTTCCATACAAATCGCCTCTTCCTCAAACTTCACATTTTCCTAAAATCTGAAAACAAGCAGCATTTAGCCTTGGCATACCCCATACCTCTTGCTAAGTGGCTCTGGGCCACACACTAGCAGCAGCCACCCTGTTTGCAACTTCGCCTCTCCTGGGTCCCTCTAAGACCAGCACATGTGTAGCAGCCATCTGCAGATTGCACAGTGGCTTCATGTCAGGTCGCCCTGGGCAGAGCAGTCAGTGACTGACCTTGCACCTAACAGCAGGCCCCAGAGCCAGTGCACCCAGTTTCAGACTATACTGGATTACAGCCCAACCACCTGCACAAAGTGACATACTCAAAGGGCAGATTCTGCAAGCCCCAAAGTCCCTGCATCGTAATTCCTCTGCTGTTCTCACAGCCCATCCTTGCAGCCTATTGGCCTGGGAGTCAACCCCTCCCAGTGATGTGCCAACAACAGTCAAGACTCAACTACAACAGTGCACGCAGCCCACACAGGGGATGCACCTGGAGCACTCAGGTGACCAAGGAGGCTGTGCCACTGGGCCCTACAGGACATCTACAGCATAAGTCAAGAAGATGAGCAGCTCTACTTAATACAGAGAAGCAAACTCAGGGAAGCAGCCAAAATGAGGAGACTAAGAATCAGTTTCCAAATGAAAGAATAGGGGAAAGCAGAACAAGAACTTTCTAAATGAAATAGAGACAAGCAAACTATCAGAAACAGGGTTCAAAACAACTGATGCACTGGCTGGTGTGACTCAGTGGACTGAGCACCAGCCTGGAAACCAAAAGGTTGCCATTTCAATTCCCTGTCAGGGCACATGCCTGAGATGCGGGCCAGGTCCACAGCTGGGGATGTGTGAAAAGCAACAGATCAATTTTTATCTCACACATTGATGTTTTTCTCCCTCTCTCCCTCTCTTCCCCTCTCTCTGAAAATAAATATTTTAAAAAAAACAATAGTTACAAGGATGCTCCAGGAATTTATTGAAAACTTCAACAGCATAAGAAGACATGGTAACTGTAAAAAGAACCAGTCAGAAGTGAAGGACACACTAATGGAAATGAATAAGTTACAGGGCTGAAGCTATATAATTTTATTAACCAATGTCACCCCAATAAATTCAATTTAAAAAATGAATAAATTACAGGGAATCAACAGTAGAGTACATGAAGCAGAGAATCGCATCAGTAATTTAGAATATAAGGTAGCAGAAAGCAACCATCAGAACAGTAAAAGAAAATCCAAAAAGAAAAAGGATTGTGTAAGGTGCTTCTGGGACAATTCCAAGCATACCAACCTTTGCCTCATGGGGGTGCCAGAACAAATGAGAAAGCAAGCTGAAAACCTATTTCAAAAAATGACAGAAAACTTCCCAAACCTGGTGAAGAAAATAAACATACAAGTTCTGGAACTGCAGAAAGTCCCAAACAAGATGAACACAAAAGAGGGCCACACCAAGATACATCATAACTAAAATGCCAAATGTTAAAAAAAAAAAAAAAAAAAATCTTAAAAGCAGCAAGAGAAAAACATTTAGTTATCTACAAGGGAGCTCCCATAAGACTGTCAGCTGATTTGTCAACAGAAACTTTGCAAGCCAGAAGGGATTGGCACGAAATATTAAAAAGTGATGAAAACCAAGGATTTACAACCAAGATCACTCTACCCAGCAAAGCTATCATTCAGAACTGAAGAATTGATAGCTTCCCACACCAGGAAAAGCTAAAGGATTTCCTCACCACCAATCCAGTATTATAAGAAATGTTAAAGGGGCTTCTTTAAGAAGGAGAAAAAAGTTAAAAGTATGAATAATAAAATGGCAGTAAATACATACCTATCAATAATTACCTTAAATGCTCCAATCAAAAAACAAATGGAGGCTGAATGGATTAAAAAATCAAGGCCCTTTCATATGCTGTCTAGAAGCAACTTCAGATCAAAAGACAGAATGAAAGTAAAAGGATAGTATAAGATATTTCATAAAAATGGAAACTGAAAATAAAGCTGGGTTAGCAATACTTACACCAGACAACATATACATTTTTTATTCAACTTTGATTGTATTTTATTTTGTCTAAGGCTTATGTCTTTTTTTAAGATTTTATTTATTTTTAGAGCGAAGATAAGGGGGAGAGAGCGAGAGAAACATCAATGTGTGGTTGCCTCTAGTGCGCCCCCTGCCGGGGACCTGGCCTGCAACCCAGGCATGTACCCTGACAGGGAATTGAAGTGGCAAACCCTTGCTTCACAGTCCAGCATTCAATCCACTGAGCCACACCAGCCAGGGCTTATTTCTTTTCCTAAAGTGTATTTTATTTATTTTTAGAGAGAAGGGGAAGGAGGGAGAAAGGGAGAGAATCATCGATGTGCGAGAGGAATGTTGATTGGTTGCCTCTCACATGTCCGTAACTAGGGACCTAGCCCGCAGCCCAGGCACATGCACTAACTGCGAATTGAACCAGCAACTTTTTGGTGTGTAGGACAGTGCTCAATCCACCGAACCACACCTGCCAGGGCCAGGCAACATATGCTTCAAAACAAAGGCTACAATAAGAGACAAAGAAGGAACCAGCACCTCTCCTTCTGGGTTTTTATCTGAATAAACCCAAACACTAAATCAAATGGACATATACATCCATATGTTTACTGAAGCTTTATTTACAATAGCCAAGATATGGGAGCAACTGACGTGGTGCATATATGCAATTGAGTATGATTCAGCCATTGAAAAAAGAATGGAACCTTGACATCTGCAACAACATAGATGGACCTAGAAGATATTATGCTAAGTGAAAAAAGCTAGACAGAGAAAGACAAATGCCATATGATTTCACTTATATGTGGAATCTAAAAAACAAAATAAACAAGCAGAACAGAGACAGACTCATGGATACAGAGAACATTTTGATAGTTACCAGATGGGAGAGGGGTTGGGGGAATGGATGAAGAAGGTAAAGTGATTTAGAACTACAAATTGGTAATGACTGAATAGTCATGGAGATGTACAGCACGGGAATATAGCTGGTAACATTGTAATAACTGTATGGTGCCAGGTGGGTAGTAGATTTATTGGGGTGATCACTTTATAAGATATAAACGTCTAATCACAGAGTTTTACACATGAAACTAGTATGTCAACTGTAAATTAAAAATTAAAAAATTAAGCCCTGGCTGGTGTGGCTCAGTGGATTGAGCACTGATTGCAAGCTGAAAGGTCACCTTGATTCCCAGTCAAGGAACGTGCCTGGGTTGTGGGCCAGGTCCCCAGTTGGGGATGTGTGAGAGGCAACTGATCGATGTTTCTCTCCCTTTCTTCCTCTCTTCTCTCTCTAAAAATAAATAAATAAAATCTTTAAAAAAATAAAATTTAAAGAAAAAAGAAAAGTTACTAGGAGGGAGACAGCCTGTGAATGTATGGTAGCTTTTTTTACTGGAGAGCCAGCTTCTTCTATTCCTAAACCTCAAGGATTCCCTATCACAAATAGAATCTGCAGCCCTGACCCAATCCTTAGTCATGTTTAGCTAGACCGAT